CCCCGCCACCCCCACCCTCATGCACCTTTCTGGTTTTTCCAGTCAGGGTTTCTCTGCATAGCCCTGGCTGTCCTGAAACTCACTTTGTAGATCAGACTGGCCTCTAACTCACAGAGATCCACCTGCCTCTGCCTCTGCCTCTGCCTCTGCTGGGATTAAAGGTGTGTGCCACCACCTGTCATTTTTGTTTGTTTCTCAAATGCATCCCTCTGCCCTTTTCCTGTAACTGCTTCTCACCTCATGGCCTCCATGGCTTTCTGAACTGGCTTTCCTTTCCCAGCACCAGTGACCCTCTCTAGACACCTTGCCTAACTGTAAGCTACCAGAATCCCCACTGAACTGCCTCTGGGTTCTGTACTCTGCACCCCTGGCCAACCCTTCCCAGATCCCAGCTCAGGCTAGGGAACTCTCCACTGCTTGGCTTCTTCCAGCCCCATTGCAGCTCTGCCAACAGCAAACTGCTAGCTCCCAACCCAGCACTCACCTGAGGGGTGCTCTGGGTTCCCATCTGACATGGGAGAGCCTTCTTCAGGGTGCCGGTGGTCCAGGTGGGCACTCTTGTAGTGGGCCTGGATGGCAGCAGCCCCTCCTTGCTCAGCTTCCCCGCCTGGGCATTCTGCCTCCCCCTGGGCTGCCTTCCCATTCTTCCGTCGCCGAGGTTGGTATTTGTAGTCCGGATGGTCCTTCTTGTGTTGCATCCGGAGCCGCTCAGCCTCCTCAATGAAGGGGCGCTTGTCACTCTCGTTCAGCAACCTAGAGGTGGAAGACACACCAGAGCCAACATGAGTGCTGGGGCACCCAGGTGAGCTTCCATCGGAATTTCATTCCTGGGATGGGGCACCCAGAAGGCAGAGCCAAGGTAGGGCTGTGCCCTATGGTTAGTGCCCCCAAAAATGCCAGACCAAGGAGTCCCAGCCTGAGGTGGTTGTGATCTCTGTCCCCTACCTCTCATTGGCTAGAGGACACCAGGGGCCAGTCTCTGAGCACACAGTCAAAAAGGAGTTACAAAGGGCAGGTTCAGGAGAGGGAAATGCTCCTGTTACTGAAGTGTATGCAAGTAGAACTGGCCACCTCATGGAAGGGTGAGCCACACCCTAGAGGGGTGTGGAGAGAAGCACATGGCTGCAGAGGAACCCAGTCTCTGCTACTTACGAGCTGTATGCTAGACTTTGCTCAGTTACTTCTCTGCCTACAAAGCGGGGATGATCTCACCTACTTTACTTGGGGGTGGGGTCACCAGAAATATAGATATAAAGTGCCCTGGGCCTGGGGAGGGAGGAACCTAGAGAAAATGGGTGCTACTCTAATGGTGCTTGGGGAGGAGTTGCACAGGAGAGCCCAAGGGTAGATCCTCAACTCTAAAAAACATGATTTGGTGAAATTTCCCTATGGTGGGACTGAGTTCTAGGTGTGTGCCCCCTTCAATATGGGGGCACTGTTTCCAGAGACAGATCCCATATCTGGGACCCGGGAGTGACAGAGGGTAGAGGAATCTGAGGCCAGCCCACAGCATGGAGAAGCCCTCATTTCAGTGCTCCCACCCATATGACTCCAGCTCAGGTCAAAGTTGAAGGGTGGAGGGTACCAGGACTTGCCTGCCCCAGGGTAAGGAAGACAGGGTGGGGCATCTTAAAGAGGGGAAAGAACAGATCCATAGACTCCAGACACAGGGACCACTCTTACACTTAAGGGACACTCAATTGGTGCCCTCTTCTCCTAGGCAACAGAAGACCAAGCCCCCTCTCCGGGCTGGTTATACCAGGCACTTTCTAGCCAGCAGCAGCATTCCTTTGCAGCTTAGCCTCCTGGTCCGCCCTGCACCCTCCCGGCATTCCCCAAAGGACCCTCTAGTGAAGCCAGACTCCATTAGGGTCAGTGGACTTTCAGGATTGATGGAGACCCCCAAGGCCCAGCCTTAGAAAGAACCCCATAACAGGGTGGTACAGTTCTGACAGCATGGGCCCAGCACAGATGCTCCTGGGGTGGCCGGTGACACTGGACACTCGCCCCTCAGTGTCCCCCTCCTGGCTGGCAATCTGAAATCACCAAGAAAATGGCCAGGAATGTGGGAGAGGGCCACACATACCAGAAGTGAGGCAAGATGGTAACACTGGATCCTGCCATCACCTCCCACGTTATATTGTGCCCAGTTAGCCCTAACAGGAACCTGGGGGTGCTGTGGTGCCAGCTCCAATCTTAGCCCCTCTGTGCCAACACTGTGCAGCTCTCCTCATGCACCCCACCCCATCCCCACAGCCAACCTTCACTCCTATACAAGTCCTTACGTTCAGGGTTGCCCTTCTCCACTGTCGCCCCCACCCCCACCCCAGCTCAGTACCCATCTGCCTCCTTTCTTTCCACCCGCCTCTGGGTTTGGAAGAGGTGGATGGAAAAAGAGGCTGGTTCCCAGCCCAGTGGGCAGCTCCTTGTGGGACACTGGCTACTGTTATATGTGCCCTCCTGTTAGGCCAAGAGCCTGTGCAACGTGGGGCAAGGAGAGGCCTATGAGGCCCCTGTCGGAGGAGCTCAGATGCAAACTAGTCCTAGTTTCCTGGCTCAAACTACTTTCCATACAGGTTAAGCAGCACCAAACATCCCATGGATCAGCATGTAATGGTTCCTCCCCAGATGGCAGCCAAGGTTAGTGTGCCAAGTACTCACATGACCACCCAGGACCTGTGTTCAAGAGCATTGATCCCAACCTCAGGCACGCTCTCCTCAGTCTGTGCTTATAATGTTTTCCACTTCTGTCTAACCAACCATCTACGCTCCTTATGTCCTTGGAGTCAGGAGCTTGGGAAAGATGTCTAGACTCTTGGAGAAACTGGCCGGCCCAGCCCAGCCCACATTCCAGTGTCTCTGAGGACCCCCATCCAGGGCCCAAGGAGCCACCACCTATTGACACAGTCTTGGCTCCTTGGTATTGTTTTGCCACCTCCCGTCCCTGGGGCTGGGCCCACAGCCATCAGGGCTCTCCTGCCTTCCCTGCCCCAGGTGGACTGCTGTGGGCACAGTCTGAATCATAGCCAGGGCCGAGTCTGCCCGAAAGGGACTCAGTCAAGGATTCTAGAGTGGGAATGGGATAGGGACAAACTCTTGGCAACAGATGGTTGCCAAGATCTTTCATTGCTGTTATACACCTAGACGGACCTTGGACAAAGGAGTTAGCTGCCACTGCTTTTCCTGAGTGGAGCTGGGCTCTGGGCTCATAGAGGCTGGCCATCTGGCTATTGCCTGGTCAGAGCTAGGGCTGAGGAGGCTGGGGGAGGGGTGTTGGGCCTGCCTTCAGTAAGCACATGGCAAAATGCAGGCCAGGAAGCTGCTTGCAGATCACTGTCTTCTTAGGGAACCGATTGCTCCTTTTATTACTTCAGGCCTTTGGTCTTCATACCAGGCCAGCAATGTGGAAGGACCAGCTCCTCTAACAGAGCCCGAGTCTCCTCAAGCATGGGACCCTCCCTTCACCTGTTCTCTGCCCACCCCCAACAGATCACTCTAGAGAGTGACGTGTGACTCCCCACTATCACCAGGGAGAATGCAGGGATAACCTCTGACAAGGATTGGTGTCTAGACTCTGTTGCCGACTGACCTAGGTAGTCAGTGTGTTTCTCTTGGGCCTGTCTCTTGGAAAGTCTAGGGGGGATCAGGTGACCTCAGCAGTCTAGCACCTGCTGAAGCCCTTGTTCCCTTTGGGCCTGGCCCAGGGTGCTTGCAGTATGTTGGGGTACTCAGAACATCTGCAACTGGCTAGGTGAGCACAAGGGTCAAATTTGCTCCCTGGGAAAACGTTGCCCCAGAGGCTTGAGGCCAGCCTAGGCAGCCTAGGGCTCTGATGGACCCTGGCAGGAAGCAGGCTTCCTCCTGGCTAGGGTGCTCAGCTCCAGTTCTTGAGTTTGGGGAAGAGGTTGCTCAACAGTTGGGTGGAGCCCAGGGAGGGAAGATGGCGCCAAAGCTGGAGAGAGTGGAAGGGAGCGAGTAGCTTGGTGGCTCGGGGACACAGCTGGAGGGGAAGGCCTCTTTTTGTGTGCCCTCTCTTGGGAATAAAGAAGCCCTCAGTCTAGAGGCTGGGGTCGGGAAGATCTCTCAGGGCAGCTGGGACAGGGACCCTGTGGTAGTAGGAAACGAAGTTCTCCACTCTGCTTTCTCTGGGTTCCCTGTTTTCCTTGCAGCCCCTACTCCCCTCAAACTCTCCTTCTGGCTGCTTCAGTTTCTGGCTGCATCTACAGCTAGAGCAGTTCTCTCCCAGAGTTTCCCACATTCTCCCGACCATGGCAGCGGCACCCTAGGTGTGTGAATATGGGTTTGAGTGGAAGTCACTAGAGCGTCCGTCCCACCATACTGTCTTCCCTGCCCACCACCCACAGAATTCCAACCACGAGGGGGCGCCTCCCTGCCCGCTGTCCCAGGATGGGGAGGCCCAGCCTAGGCTGCTGGGGTTCTGAGTTCCAGGGTGAGCAACCAGAAGAGTCCCCACGGGAGCACTCTGGGGTAGACGAGTGGGCAAGGTCTCCAAATCTGGTCTTCTAAAGAGATAGCTGGACTCCTCTAGGAGAGGGACCTGGACGATGTTACTTTGGGGCCCCAGGCTAGCTCTAATGCTAGGGCCTGCGGGGCTGGGGCGGGGTAGGGCTCACCTCCATAGCTCTCCCAGCGTCTTGCTGAGCTCGGCATTGTGGAGGTGCGGGTACTGGTCCGCCAGCTTCCTGCGCGCCGCCTGCGCCCACACCATGAAGGCGTTCATGGGCCGCTTGACGTGCGGCTTGCTCTTGCTGGCGCCGTTGACACGCACGGGCATGGGCACCAGCGTCCAGTCGTAGCCACTGAGCACCTGGCTGACCGCCTCGCGGATGCACACAGGGAACTTGTCATCGTCTGCCTCGCCGTCCTGCTGTTCCTTCTTGACCTTGCCCAGTTCGCCCGGCCCCGGGCTGGCTCGCAGGCCTGAGCCACCGCCGCCGCCGTCGGGGCCCAGCGACGGTGCACTGCCAGGGGACAGGCAGCGGGGCTCCTCGGAGCCCACAGGGCTCAGCTCCACCTCTGATAGGTCCTGTTCCTCGGCCATGTCGCTCCCGGCCGCCGCCGCTTCGGCCGCCTCCCCCAGGCCCACCGCAGGGGTCCTCGCGAAGAGCCCAACGCCCACCTGGACAGGAAGGAGGGGGCGATGGAGAGGCGCTGTGCGCCACCCCAGGCTGGACGCGATGTAGCCCCGAGGTGGCGGCCCTGCTTACCCGCGCTAAACCCACTCGGGCCTGGGCCCGCGCACATGCCAGACCCTAAGTGGGTGGCGACCCACCTCCACGTCTTCCCACCCCCTGATCTCAACCGTCTCTAGGTGTGGGTGGGTTTTTTCCTTAAACCTCCTTTTGGAGGTTTGTTGATGGAAAGGAAGAAAAACGGATCCTTTATTCGACTCTAATCCGGGCCCCTGGAATTTCCCACCTTTTCTCTCAACTCTCCTTCCCCTCGTCTGCCCTGACAGTCTAGGGAAACTGGTGGGGGACACATGTCTGCCTGTGTGGTGTCAGCCTCTCCCACCCCAAATTGAGGGGACCCAGGCCCCTGTTGGCAGTCCAGGCCCAGGGGAGCAGTGCGCACTCACCTCCTCCGACCTCTCCTCCAGTCTGGGGCTCGTCCTGAGGAAGTGGAAAACCGTGTCCCAAGGTGTGCGGTCCAGCTCGGGGCTGGGGGAGTGACGCTGATGGACTGGGAGGGAGGGGCTGGGGGGCCCTAAGCCTCAGGCCACGGCCTCGTCTGGACGGAGCCTGAATCCTCGCCACCAAACACCCTGGCTGGACAGCCTGAGACTGACTGAGCGACTGAGCTGCTGCAGACGACTGGGGAAGGAAGGAGGGGGAGGGGAGGGGGAAAAGGAGGGAGGGAAGGGCAGAAGGTGGAGCCTCCAGCGTTGCCTTCATCCCCAACACCCAGGACGCCTCCACTCTGCCCAGCACCCCCTCCCCCCCAGCCCTGCCCGCACTGCTGCCTAGGCCCGTCTCCCTGGACTCAGCTTGAGTTTGGGTGGCTGGTGTGAGAGTTGGGGCATTTTACGTCTGGGAAGGGAGAGGCGCAGGTGGTGCAGTCAGAACTTGTTGCCTGGGACCCTAGACCTCTGCCTCAGGTAGTGGCATGGGCTGTTGATGAACGACTAGAGGGAGATGTGAGGGAAGCGGGCGACCCGAAAGGGGGGCAGCCTGTGTTGCTTAATTTAAGAAATCCTACTGAGTCCCACTGCGTGCTAGGCACCGCTGCCAGATGTCAGCAAAGGTGTCACCTCCCCTGTCCTCTCTGACTCAGCCTATACAGCCAGAGGTCCTGATGAGGAAGGCAGCCGCAGCTGAACAACCATTGCCCAGCACATATACCCAGGTGGAGGCCATGATCCCTGCTTTATGGATGTCAGCATCCAGAAGGGTGGACTGGCCCAGGGTAGAGACACAAGAGGCTAAGGTGGGGTGGGAGAGGGTCATCTTTAAGAGGAACACAGACAACTTTGGAGTCACTCCCATGCTGGGCTCTTCCTCTCTTAGGAAAGGGAAAGGATGGAAGAGTCCAGGCCCTGATGTCATAAAGTCCTTCACTGTGCCACACTGAGAAAGGGACTACCCTGGCTCTGCCCCCCTTCTCTGCCCCTCACTCCTATCCTTTGTTCTTCCTGCCCATTGCCCCAGGGCCCCTTTCCCTCTCTCCTTTCCTGGGTCACACCTCCACAGGCTATTGCCCCCTTCTCTTCTCATGAAGGCAGCCCTTTCCTGGGGGAGTGGCTAAGCAGAACTGGGGTGCCCATGGAGGGGCAAACAGGGGAGCCTGGGTCACACCAGTGACAATGTGTGGCTTTTCTGTCCCTCTTAGCTGGGCAAGGCCCTAGGCCCACACCAAACAGGTACTGTCTGGAGTCGGCTGGAACCGGGGTCTGGAGAATCAAGGCCTCATGATTGGGAAGGCCCCAGGGTGGATAGTGTCTGGAGTCGGCTGGAACCCGGGTCTGGAGAATCAAGGCCTCATGATTGGGAAGGCCCCAGGGTGGATAGTGGGACACAATGAGATAGTCACACGGGGCAAAGGCATGTCGAGGGGGTGGCAGACATTGGTAACACACACTCACACATGCTTGCGCACACACAAGCAGCCAGACAATTGGGCCAGTGTGTCTGGGACTGCAGAGCCCAGTGAATTAGGAGTTTGATAAGGGTTTTCTCTTTCTCTCGCTCGCTGGCCTTGGACAATCTCCCCCCAGTTTTCCTCGACGCCACCCCCAGCGCTGCCAACCCTCCTCCCCCCGCCTCCCTTCTCTTCCCTGTGCCCAGACTCTTGTTCGGGGCCTTGAAACAGTGAGCTGTCTTTGTTCGAAATACAGGTGAACGGCAATCATGTGATTAACACACACACACATAAAAAGCTTTTTAACAGCGCCCGCCCGGCCTCAGAACCTCCCGGAGAGAAGCCGCCTTGGATGGACAGAGGGACTGAGCTACAAGCATCCAGCCAGTCGTGTCCTGGCTCCCCGGCAGCGGTTCCCAACGTCCGCTGCTATCCGCGCCGGCTGCCCGCCTGCCTGCCTGGCATCTCTCTCCCGGTGGGTCCCTGTTCATCCCTCCACCCTTTGGTCCCTCCTCTTGGAGGGACGGTCCTCCCTGCTCTCTGTGGCTGAGCCTGAGACCCCTGGGGCATGGAGGAGTTCTGTGGGGGGGAATGGGTCCAGGATTATAGGAAGCCGGGTGGGGGAGGTGGTGGTCTCACAGCCGATGCCCTCTCTAGTTCCCTGCCACCACCCTCTTCGGCCCAGCCGCCAGGAAGTGGTGTGTGTGTGGGGGCGCTCTATAGAGGACCACACCGGGTTTGTGCTCCCTCTCTGTTTCTTCCTCGTCCCTGCACACAGGTTCTCCTGAGTGCTTGCTTGGTTGGACCCTGCCTACATACCTGCTGAGGGGTGCTGCTGAGGTGGCCAGGTCACTGTGGGGGCAGGGGAAGGATTGTGTGTTGGCTGAGGGATTCCCCCTGTAAACAAGACATCTGGAAGCAACAGGCTGGCAATCAGGATGCCTTCTGCCTTGTTTTAGGTAGTGACCCAGTTTTCTCCAGCAGGGGAAGGTAAAGGCCCCGTTTTCTCCTCACAGTAGGGAATTAAGAAAGTGGGAAGGGTCCCTGTTGAAGACACCAGGCCTTGGAGACATCAAGCTGGCCAGGAGGGCCAGGGCCACCATTGGCTTCTTACCCAGCTGGCAGCTAGAGGGGAGAACTTGTTTTCTCTCCATTCCTGACTGTCCCAGGGATGCTTGTGACCCCATGCCCGACATCCTATCAAAGCTGCCCTGAGAGGAGGGCTCCTCCCCACTATTGGTGAGGGGTGGTGTTGATATATGCTCCCTAGCAGAGGCCAGGGCCCTAGTGTAGTGGAATCCATGCTTCCTGCCATTGGCAGAGGCCAATCAGGAGCTTCCTGGGTCCAGCACATGTTCCTTTGAGATGGTCCCAAATTCCCCCAGAAGATAGCCCTTGGGAGGGACCTGAAGTCTTTCAGTCAGACTCAAAGTCCACTGATGATACTGCAAGGACTAGTCACCTCAGGTCAACAGTAACCCTTAACCCTTCTTCTTTGGGATGTTGTCCTGCCTGGCAGCAGGCTTCACCCATGGTCCCCATCCCTGAGCCCAGCCCCGTCATCCATCACATGGCAGGGGAATGCCATCCTTCCCTGCCTTGGCGGATATACAGACAGTGGGAAACCTGCTGTTTGGCAGAACCAGGAGCCTTGAGGGGTAGAGTTAGGACAGCTCTAGGGAAGTTTGAGCCTTTGCCTCAGGTTCAGCTTTTCTGTACTGTTATCTGTCTTTCAGATCCCCTCCATAGGACAGGGAAAGGATGAGGCGAGGGGCCACAAGCAAGGCATTTACCACCTTTGAACACAGAGGTATAGACCATCCTGGAATCCCTGCTCCCTCTCATTTGCTGTTCCAGGTCTGTGTTCCCGCTACTCTGGGAACAGGGGACTAACTTGATGTTTCTCAGTCGTGAGAGGCCTGAGGCTCTGTATTCCCGTCAGGTTTGTTTCCTAGCACCTGCTCAGGGCTGGTCTCATGCCTGGAATCATGTACAGAAGTCTCACTATGCAGCTTCAGTTGGTCTTGAACTCTCCATTTCCCAGCCTCAGCCTCCCGAGGAGCTAGGATTATAGGTGTGCACCACCACATCAACTGTGTGGAGTTAAAACAGATGTTGGTTCAGATTCAAAATGTTAGAGTCTACACCAGACTGGCTCATTTTGAATGAACTTCTAGGAAGGAGAGGCAGGTATACTTTATTTTTATTTTTGTAATTCCCTTGGCAGGCTCGGGTTTCCTTCAAGGGGTCCCTGGAGCTCCAAGACTGGGGTCCTTCCCTGCCAGATCCAAAATCTCTAAGACTGCACAGGATTTGGACTCTGAGTCAGAGAGCCAGTGGCCAAGCTTATAGGTTACACTGAGATGTCCAAGCATTTTGAGGGCATGGCAAGAGCAGGGCTGTGCACTGGGGAGGCAGAGGGGTGGGGTTAGAAGTCAAGAGTAACCCTGATGTCCAACCATCCCTTGGAGACTCAGCTTGCACTGGGGGGTGTTTGAGGGTGAGTATGTACTCTTGAACACATTCTAGGCCACCCCATCTTGGCAAGGTTGTGTCTTTGGATATAGTGGACAATGATGTGCAGTCAGTGAGGTCCACCATTCATACCCATTCATTCCATATTCTGGGAATGTTGGGACTTGGCTTTACCTGTACAGTGTTGACAATTTCATAATTTACTGCCTATCCCTTTAAAGTATGTGTATGTAAGGGAGACCAAGAATAACACACACACACACACACACACACACACAGAGAGAGAGAGAGAGAGAGAGAGAGAGAGAGAGAGAGAGAGAGTAATTGCAGTAAGCATTCACTAGAGAAAATAATGTAGGTTTTGGGCTAATGCTGAGAGTCATGGTGGGGTGCTCTCTCTTCATTCCCATTGCACAGGCACCTGGCTGTAGACCCACCTTCAGGAATTCGGGTTCTGCTTGCTTTTGTAATGCCAGGGAATGGGAAATGGAACCCAGGGCTGAGAGACTCCCACATACTAGGCAAGCACCCATGTCCAACCCTTACCCTCAGGAACTTCTCATGTGCCTCTTAAATCTAGGTTCGGGCCAGGGTGGTATGTGGTGAGCTGCTGCCTGTGAGTGGGCCTCCACTTTTTACCTCTGGGGAGGGAGAACCTGTCCAGCTCTGAGGGCTCCCTATGTTTGACTCCACTCTTTCAACAACCCCTCTGCCTGAATCGGTATCCTTATTCTCCGGGGAAACTGAGGCACAGAAAGGCTGAGGGATGGGCCTGTGCTCAAGCACCTAGTTATGAAAGTTATGAGACCTGGGGTTTGTTGTTTCTCCACTCCAGTCCCTGATGGCCGTCCCAGGTGGAGTCACAGGGGTCTATCCTTTTTTCTCTCCTGCTGGGCTGGGCTACTGACTTTGTCCCCCTCTCCCAGCCAGCTCACAGGGTCTCTCTTACCATCTGCCTCCTTGAGGCCTAGTCCTTGTTTCAGCCCAGCTAAGAGGCGCTCTTCTGGGCATTTTTGCTAGAATATTTTCCCTCCGTACTCCAGTGGAGAAGTGTATATATGTGTATATGTGCTCCCTGTGTTCTCTTCCTGGCCCAGCTTGGTGGTCAAGACTACAATCACTTTCAGCTTTGGGAGGATGGGGTTCATTGCTTTTTGTTGCTCTGCAGCCCAGCTTGCCTTTTGGTGGTGGTCCTTGAATTTAGTTGCTTCCTAGGGAAGAAAAGAGAAGGAAGCTGGGGCAGGCAGGCAGG